CTAAATAGAAAAAAAATCACTATTTCTTCTTTTTTTTTTCCAGCTTTTGTAGGATTGAGATAACATCTATATAAAGTGATGGCTCTTATTATCCAAATTTGTATGTACCAAAAAAGCCGGCAAAAACGCCAGAAAAGCATAATAGCAATTGCTTTACACAATAGGCGGTTAACTGCTGCTTTCATCTTCTGTAGACAAATCTGTTAATTGATAGCTAATTTTAGAAAAAAGTTATGCCAATCAAGCAGCTTAGATATGTTCATGATTGGCCGAATTTTACTAATCTGGTCTAAATAAAAGGAAATTATACAGCGTGCTATTATTTATCACTAATAACGCTTCTCTTTTATATATATATAATGATCATATTTCGACTTGCAATTCTTTTTGTAACTTGTCATGTAATGTAAGAAGGGATGTATGGAAGCTCCCCACTACTCTTGCCTTCATCGCCATAGAGATCTTTGTGTTGAATGTCTAGGCAGAGGAGATCAAGAAGATATTCACCTCCATAGATGCTCAGAATAGAAATTTTTTGAGCTTGAAGAATGTGAGAAATCCCTATCTTGATCTTGAAGTTGCCCCAGAAAAGAAATCTACGTAACTAGTTTTAATAACAAAGACAATATCTCCAAACGGAGAAAATCATCCTAAGCTATTACTGTGCGGACACCGGACGCAACTCTATGTCCGAAGACTAATCAGGTGCAGCCACGTCAGCCGTACAAGTACTATACCGAGCCATATCGAGCAAGGGTGACATGGCACATTCTGATTGGTCTCCGGACGGCATTCTGTCGGCACAAAAAATTTTTTCTTGCTAAGAGGATAAATCAGGCAATGTCTAGACTATTGAAGGAGATTAATGAAAACAGCTGAGGATAAAACTATTTCGAGAGTAAAAAAGAAATCTATCATGGAGATTTCCACAAATTAATAAAACAATTTCCTTAGTAAGGGGGTAAAGCTGTTAAAATAAACGAAGAGAGGGGGGCAAATAGAAAGACACTGCAGACTCTGAAACATAAAATGCCCGAATTAAATTTTTTGTTAGTAGCTAAAGAACCTCCTTCACACTCTAACCTTGATCTGCAACTTCATCAATCTCCATTTGAATTAAATTTATTATATTTTCTTGGAGTATTATAATATAATAAACTAATTTTTTTAAAATAAATTTAATGATTTTAATTTAACACTGCAGACTCTGAAAGATAAAATGCCCGAATTAAATTTTATGTTAGTAGCTAAAGAAACACTCTAACCTTGATCTGCAACTTCATCAATCTCCATTTGAATTAAATTTATTATATTTTCTTGGAGTATTATAAGTTTATACTAAACTAATTATCTTAAAATAAATTTAATGATTTTAATTTACACGAGGATATTCTAATTTAGTTTTTTTAAAAAGCATGAAAATGCTATAACTTTAAAATACTCTAAAATATATTAGAAACATATATTAAAATTTGAATTGAATTAATTTTAAAAATATTTAATTAATTTTAATAAACCCTAAAACCCAACAAATCTAATATTCAAATTAAAAACTCCAAAATCAGGTAATTCATATAAAAAAAAGAAAAAAAAAACTCATTCTTCCAGCTATTCGCTCCTTTCACTCTGCTAGGGCTTTGCCCTAGCTAGCTGCTCTTCTGGTGCGTTTTGTATGCTCTCCAACTCCATCTTTCGGCCGGCATCCGTCTGGAATCTTCAGGGAAGTTGCCTTTCCTTATTCTCTTGTTGTTCGACTTTCTCTGTTCTTTTTTTTCTGGGTCGTCAATCTCGTGTTTCCTCCTCCAGCCCTTTGGTGGCCGGAATGGCGTTCCATAGGGTTGCTAATCCAGGCTTTTTGAATGGTTCATTTAAATATCTATCGTTTGCTGAAGCCCTTTCTGGTTCTTCCTCGTCGAAATGTTTCCCTGAGCTCTGTTAAGGCTCTTTTCATGGTTTACAATCATTGTGGATTTCTGAGGATGAAATTAAAGCTCTTGTTGTGCATTTCCAATTCGCTTTGGTCGATTTTTCCCCACGCGTCGTCCGTCTCTGGATGCTATTCGAAAAAAAAATTTCTTGCTGAAACTTAACTTTGATTTCTCTGTTACGGTGCTTGATCAGACGCATGTGTTGGTTAAACTTTCCAACGATCTAGACTATAGCCGTGTTTTCTGCCATCATTATTATCTAGTGAATAACTATTTCATGAAGCTGACTAAATGGTCTCCACTCCTCGACATCGGATGTGAATCTCCGATCATACCAATTTGGGTTTCCTTCCTAATCTTATACCTCATCTTTACTCTCCTTGTATCCTTCACGCCTTAGTTTCTATGCTCGGTAGACCCTTGAAGGTTAATTCTACCACTTTGGTAGGATCTCAGCCATCCCTAGCGCATGTGTTGGTGGAGCTGGACATTACCAAAACTTATCCTTCCCAAATTTGACCCGGGCCTGAGGTTTCGGGGTATATTCAAAAGGTGCAATTTGAGGCTTTTCCTGATTTATGTGTCTTGTAAGCGTCTAGGCCATCTTAAAGGTAACTATGCTCCAGCTCCTCTGTCTAATTCTAATACTCTTATGTATGTGAGTGTTAAGAGTCATGCTTTGGGTGTATCCTCTATGGTTGTTAATGAGGTGATCGTTGGGGAGGTTTTGAACACCATGGTTAACCCGGTATAAGGGATTGTTGGCTGTGAGGTTGTTACTGAGGCTTTAGCCGAGGATCCTGTTGTTTCGGTTAAGGAAAATGTTATTTGTGCTGGTTCTAGTGAGTGTAAGGAAGCTGCGGGTAACATTTTAGATAATGCTGGCATGAATTCTAATGTCGAGGATGCTATGTGCCCGCCCTCCACTACTCCTTTCCACCTTATTGTTGAAGAGGAGGAAGTCTTTTTTTTTTTATTCAACTTTGCCTGTGTCTTTGCATGTTAACTCGTTGGGTGATTTAGCTTTGGTTAATGCAGCTGATCCTGCAGTTCCAATCTGGTTTGTACAGTCTTCTCCCCTATTGCCCCTGTTTCTTCCGTGAACTGCTTGGGTAGTTCTCAAGCCTGTGGTGTTGTGGTGGAAGGGGACCTTCTGTCTGTGAACCCTGGCTGTGCAAGTTTAATAGTTCCTCTTTGTGGAGTAAATTCTGTAGCTTCTCCTTTGTTTAATGGTGGTGTGGAGTCTTCGGAGGCTATCTCAGTTTCTTCAACTGATGGTGGTGGTGTTAATTCAGGTGGGGTTGAGGTGGTTCGTTGTCCTGGGGTTGGAGTTGCTTCACTGGTTGACGTACATATTTCTATCATTTCTAATGCTAACTTACAAGCCCACCTAGATAGAAATAGAATCTGGTTGCAATGTGATTGGTTACACGATGATTGGCTATCGAAAGGGGAGGAAAACTTTGATGATGGTTTAGAAACTGGTTCGTTGAATACTGTTATTAGAAATCGTAAACGGAAGTCGAAAAAGAAATGAATTATTGGGCCTTATTGTTGGGTTTTTTTTCGATTTCGATTGTCTTCGATGGTTTGGATCTGTACAATGAGGAAACAGTTATTCTGCATGCACCTATGATGGCTTGGGCTGGGCAACCGTGCTGACCTGGCTTTTTTAGATCCTCACTGGATGGCCCTCCCTTGCAACTGGGTGTTAGTCTGTGTCCGTGTGGATCCTTTTTTTTAATTTGGTTTTCCGCTAATTGTATCTCTAATGATGTGACCTGGTCGGGATCTTGTGGTGTAACATTTTTTCTTTAATGTCATTTTTATTTTAAAAAAAATTAAAAACTCCAAATCAAAGGGCTTCATCTCAATCTTGAGATCTCCGACATTAATCTTAACCGTTGTAATTATGATAAGTTTCTCTATATTTATGTAGATTTAATATTTCTAGTTAGTTCTGTGCCCATCTTACATCCTTAACTTATCATTTGCTAAACATTCTTGCCTGAGCCCACATAATGAAATATTAGATATATTTATATCTTAAAAAAAAACTTCTCTTTTAATTTTCCACCGTTTTGTTGCTTTTTCCGGCCATCCACAACAGGTTTCATTTGACATAGTTTTTTTACTAATTTTTAAAATAATTTTTTAGTTCATTTTTTTTTTCTCAAAACAGCAAAGAAAAAAATGCCTCAAATGAAGCCGTAGTTCCTGCAGTATTATTGCTTCCCTCTGTTGATACACAATTCCGAAACTCTTAATAGGATTTAGAGCATGTGAAGTCCCATCCTTTCTATTAATAAATCATACTATTTGCCTGTAATTTTGTTTGTCCTCCTATCAAATCCATCCACCGCCCTCAGTCCACAGATCCAACTTGCCATCGCCATTCTAATCCACTAGTTACAGTTAATTAATGAAATTTACTTGTCTTCTTTCTCCTCATTCTGATCACGAGTTACAGCATAGGGTCGAGCTTGTCTCAAGTTTTGCTGCAATATGCCAAATATTACTGCATCTTGTAGGGCATAGCCTCCAAATTAAGAACCAACTGTCATTCCACTATGGGCATGCTTTCAAGCATCCTCGGGATGTGCAATAGTTTGGTTGGTGGGCGAATACAATTGAGAAACACTTATCACGTGCTCGATTCCCTTTGAGCAGCAGCACCTCTTAAATGGCACTTAATCAAGTGCAGACCAAGATGTTTTTATGATGAGTGCCTCTTCTAGGTCAGACGAGAATTAATCACGCTTCCAAACACCCTTACGGAAATAGCAACGAGTGAATATCCCGTTTCAAAATAAAAAAGCATGAGATGATTTAAAATTAGTACAATCATAATATGAACAAAAGACAAATTAAAATATTCAGTTAAATAAATAATTTTTTAATATTTTATAAATTTTAATGATTAACAAAGTTTTTAGAAAAAATAGAAGTGTATTAATTAAGGTGGGCTAAGAAAAGAAAATTGAATTGAATGATCATTTTCCATCCGTTGATGCCTCTCCGGGCCCATCCCCCAATGATGCCTATTTATTCGGCCACATAAACAGATCTAACACTCAATCGAGTTTATCATCACTCATCTCACCAAAAGTTCACCTCTGTCTCGCTACTTGTCTCAATCACGATCTCTCATGGCTTCCTGTATCAATACGCTTAAAGACCGTCCGGCCATGTACGGAGCACCGCTGCCGGCGAGCCCGCGCATATCCTTCTCCAACGACCTCGCCGCAGAGGGCGCCAGACCTCCTCGGCGGGACATCGTAACTCCCGACCCGACCTTCGAGTTCGCAGTCGGAGGCCGGCCCATGATCGCCGCCGACGAGCTCTTCTTCAAGGGACGTATGCTTCCACTGAGTTCCGGACAGTTAGCAAGGGTCACCACCCTCCGCGAAGAGCTCCGGGCCGAGGGCGCCCCGCAGTCCAAGGGGCTCGTGCGGTGGAAGGAGTTCTTAGGCCTTAAACGGGTCAGCAGCGGGCATCCGGCCCCGAGGAACAGTAAGCCCGTCAACTCATCCGCCACAACCGAGTCCGCCGGAGAGATATGCCGGAAAATTCAGCCAGGTGATGACTTAGTTCCCCTTTGGCTGATTATATAGTTTCTCTTTATATATATTTCTTTTTGATCGATTAATACTAAGTGAGCAATGGGATCATAAATAGGAAGCGAAAAGACGATCGTGCTATGATGCTGGAGAGGAAGTGGAGAGGAAGCGAAGGAAATTGGTTAATAAACAGAAAAAATATTTATATAATGGGATCATCAACGACGTTTTCATAAAAATCTAGTTCAGAACCTGCAGTGTACGTCATCCTATGCAAAATCTAAGGATCACTTATTTTGCATCAAAATGCCCGCAGTATGGCTGTTATGTGCAAGATTTGATGAGGATGTTCCACGCCAATTATTTTTCATAAAAATCTATAAAGATATTTCTCTTCTACAGTGTTTGCTGAGTGAGTTTGTATGCTGTTACTGTTATCTGGTCTAGATTTTTTTTTTTTTTTTTTTTTTTTTTTGCGTGAGGAGGATGTGGTGTTGACCTGGTTTGGTTTGCTGCTTGTTTCTGTTGTGATAGCTTAATTGTACAAAAGAAACTGTAGCTGGAAATATTAATGCGTGATGTGTTTTGAATTCAGATCTGTGAGTAGAGCAATGGCGGCATTTGTTTATTGCTTTGATTTGGCAGACATTTGCTTCACCTTATTTGGGTCTTTCTGTACCTGTTTGTCTCTTTAGAAGTCAATATTCTTCAGATGAAAAGACTAGAAAAAATTCACTGGTCATTCTTATATATATGTTCAAATAATAATAATACTAATAATAATGACGGTTTGATTTCATTGAAGGTGAATTAATAAGTCTGTGGGCTCATTTAGTTGTTTGATATTTGAGATTATGAATTGAAAGAATATGATGTTTATAAAATTTTCTCGAAAGTTTTTTTTCAGAATGAGGAATTTTCATTTCATACTCAAAATAAGTGAAAATAAAATTCTGCTGAACTGAAATATATTTTTCACCATCCATGCAATCAAATTAGCTGCAAAACTATTAATATTTATTTTTTTTTTTGGGAAAGGTAATTAATAATAGATAAAATATTGAGAAGTCTTTTTTTTTTTTGTTACGTGGCCAGCAAATAGGAGGAGATTAAGGGTATTTTGAGATTGGTTTCAATGGACAGAAGATGTTGATCTCCTTGATCGTGGATCGTTTACTGGCATTTGAAGGTCTTAATGATATCAAAATTCAGTGATCTTGAGCTCGTTGGATTCGTCTCGTCGAGTTGCTCGATTTGACTATAAACATGTTGCATTTGAAGATCGGTTAGTAATCCAAATTATATTTTGAACCTTTCAAAGGCACTTTGTGTTTTCGATTTGGACCTATTTTGGCCCAGATAGAGCCAAATTTGGTGTTGTTGGGTTCGTCTTTTTGAGACGTTCAGTTCAACTATAAGTTTGTTGATATCAGAATTCAGATGGTCCCAATTTTAATTTCGAAAGTTTTCAACTTGGAATTGCATCAAGATTCTTGCCCGATCAAGATAAATTTGTGAGGATATATCATTCTTGATTTTTTTTATTAGGATATACTGATATAATTTATTTATTTTTCTAATAAATATTTGTGAGATTGATCATGAGCTAAGGCAGATGAAAGTTTTTGACTTTCAAAATTTTGTGGAGTCATTTTTTTTCCTTCAATTTAACAGATTGTTTTGTTTGAGCAATATGACGTTTCTTTACGGGAGGTTAGCATCTGACAATATTGCAATTAATCATTGTTGTGTTCTGGAGTATTCACGACCGTAGAGAAATATAAAGTTTAGCATTGTGCAAAGATCCAACACACAAGCAGATAAGAGATAGAGAGTGTAACGTTCATAAGAGACACTAGAGTTTTTATGTGGAAGCCCCTAAAAAGGGGGAAAACCACGGTGTTTGGCCCAGTTTGAATGAATCCAATAGTAATTGCAGTCGTTACAAATGAGGCCCTTCTTAGGGAGAAGGCATTGGCTTGATGTCACAAATGTACATCATATAGAGTGTATTACATAGTGGAAGTTACAATAATCAATATAGATATGTCTATTTGGTCGGCAAGATCATAGTTGATAGGATAGAGATCGGAAAGACCGTAGTCTGGCGATGTAGGTCGCAAGGACCGTAGTAGGCGACGAAGGTCGGAAGAACCATAGTCGGTAGGTGACGGAGGTCCAAAAGATTGTAGTTGACCGGAGATCGGGGTCAGAAAGATCGTTGTAGTAGGGTGGTACTCTAGAAGATCTCTATGCATGATCCGGCAGAAGTTCGGGTCTCAGGTGGTGATCTGGTAGAAGTCAGGACCTCAAGTAGTGAACAACGAAAGTCTGTACCTCAGGTGGTGCTCTAGCAGAAGTCCGAGCCTCAGGTGGTGGTCCGGTAGAAGTTTGGGCCTCATGTGGCGGTCCGGTAGAAGTTCGGGCCTCTGGTGGTGTTCCAACGAAAGTCCGGCCCTCAGGTGGTGGTCTGGTAAAAGTCTGGGGCTCTGGTGGTGGTCCGGTAGAAGTCAAGGCCTCAGGTGGTGGTCTGATAGAAGTCTAAGCCTCAAGTGGTGGTCCGGCAGAAGTTCGGGCCTCAGGTGGTGGTCCGGCAGAAGTTCGGGAGTCAGGTGGGGGTCCGGTTAAACTCTAGGCATCAGGTGGTGGTCCGACAAAAGTTGGGGCCTCAGGTGGTAGTCTGGCGGAAGTCTGGGCCTCAGGTGGTGGCCCGATAGAACTCCGGCGGTGGTCGAGGAGGAGCGAGGAGGCAAGGGTGATCTTCGAGCCCCAATTTCAAGAGGGAGGAGGGGTCTATTTATAGATTCCTAGAGTGGCATGGCCCGTAAGAGGTGGTAGATCAAGGGCATATTGGGAGTGGCTTAGATGGAGGGTCGATGTTGAATCCCTTGACTGTGGACTGTTTGATAGACATTTGAATGTCTTAGTAATGTCGGAATTAAGTGATTTTGGGCTCGTTGGATTTGCCCCATCAATCCGCTCGATTCGACTATAAGCACGTCATGTTTGGAAACCATTTGGCAGTCCAAATTGTGGTTCGAACCCTCCAACAGCGATTCATACCCTTAATTTGGACCCATTGGTGCTCAGATTGAGTCAAATTTGGTGTCGTTGAGTTCGTATTTCTGAGACGTTCAGTTCGACTATAAGTTTGTTGAAATCAGAGTTCGGATGGTCCCAATTTTAATTTTGGAAGTTCCAACTTGATTTTGTCTCGAGATTAATTCATGCCCGGTCAAGATAATTTTTTGATGATATATCAATCACTTTTTTTATATCGTGTTTATAAGAAGAAAAATACTTAAAATAATTTACATAATAAATTTAAATTCATATAATATCATCTATTATCATGCATCATGACGGCACTATGCTCTGGCCAACTGATCAGAAAGTTATTTCTTGGCCCCCATCGAGGGCTTACTCTGAGCTTACTGTTAAAGTTTAGCATGTGTTTGTGAGGAAGAAAAGAGAAGAAGAATGAAGGCAACGGTCAAATTGGTTCAAATAAAAGTGAACCTCAATGCAGTAATATAATATTAGAAAAAATATCCAATAATATAAAATGCAAAAGAAGCATATGAAAATATTTGATTCTTATATGATGTAATGAATTTCTTGAGGAAGCTATGTTCTTCTTGGATGAGAGAGAGGCAGGGAAGTGAGGGGGAGAGAGCTAATATGAAATTTCTCTTCAATTGGCCTACAATTACTATTACAACCTCTTCTATTTATATAAGACTGAACCTACTAAGATAAATAAGGTTCTAAGGAACAACTAACCTAAAATGGGTTCAATACCAAACAATCTCCACCATGATCAACATTTTATAGTAATGAGAAAGTACATGTTGTTCACAACGAACAACCCAAGAAAAGTTTCCAACGTACAACTTGTTTCTCCTTCACCTATTTCCATGAACTCGCACCTGTTATGAACTAACCGTCTCCCTGCACTAATGCCATGAGCAAGCCCATCGTGTCGAGCCCAATCCCGCTCACGCCAGGCCTCCATTAAGTGTTCCAATCCACGGATCTAACTCGTGCTCCCGCACATTCTAAATGACGTGCACCTGCACATGCATCTGTCGTTGTTCCTCCTGCGATCCACACATCAGTGACTTTTGCATCGCCATCTCTTGTGTGGCACGCCCGTGCTCAAACACCTAGAATCCTCCGGCTCGCACGTCTTTCCAAGGCACTCGTGTGCACTCCAAATTGCAACTTCGCATGAGCCACCCACCCAATCCCATGTCCGGTGCTCGCTTCTTGCTTGCGGATGCCTCCACATTGCGTGAGAAACTCAGAAATTCTGCACTAGCCTGTCCACGTGAAAAATCAATGATTCTTGAACCCACCAAGAATTATCTACCTGCTTTCATCGCCATAGCTCTAACACACAAAACCCAATCGACCCTGCTTACCGATCTGCTTGCATACTGACCCAGATACTTGCTCCACCGCGGGTCTTACTTCCCTGCCTCTGAGCTCTACACTTTTCAAAATTTACCTCTATTGCAAGTAATTTCTGCATCTTCAAATACTCACGCACAAATTCCGATCGTACTTCCCATCAAACCAATACTGCATATTCACGTGCACATCGCACATCCAAGACTCGCACAGTTCGGCAGTCCGATCCCTCATGAATCTCACGACCCATCCAACATCCCAGATCTACCTCACCCACTGCTCCAACATACACTCATAATATGAATCTGAACATAAATGTCCAATCTGAGACTTCTGCCCCGCATAATCCCGCATGAACGTCCAATCCACCCTCCCGTGTGATGGCTACCACAAGCCTGCACAACACTTATCAGTCCACACCCCGCACGTGCATATGCCTCACACAACAACTACAACTCATCTGTCTACCTTCCATATGCAACAGACACACGCAAACACACCTCCATGCCTAGTCGTCTTTCCCGAGCACCTCGCATGCCCACGTATGGCCCACCATTACGAGCCCTTGCCTTGGCCCAACAACAGACCTCTCCTCTCCTTTCTTGATGACAAGAACACCTTCCTCGAGATCGCCTCCACCAGAATCTGATACCACTTGCTATGAATTTTCTTAAAGAAGAATAATCTCCTTGGATGAGAGAGAGAGGGAGAGAGAGCTTTACATGAATTTCTTTTATTCATCTTCAATTGGCCTACAATTATTATTACAAACTCTTCTATTTATAGAAGAATGGACCTACTAAGATAAGAGGGCCCTAAGGAACAACTAACTTAAAAAAAAAAAAAACTGGACTAATACCTAATAGATGAATTTGACTCAGTAGTCATTTCCACTGAATTTTTTTTTATTATTTTTGAAATATCTATTGAACTATACAAATAAGTGAATTGCATAAATTATAAAAACTACATTAAGCTATGTTATAAAAGACAATTACATATGATCTATCCAAATTCACAATAGCATAAGAGATTAAGGTTTCATTTAAGATGACTTTATTAATGCTTTTTAAAACTACTTTCTAGTACTAAAATTTTATGCTAGAAAAATTCTTTAAGCAGCAATAAGAAAGCCGTCTCAAATGAAGCCTATAAATCATAACAGGAAACCAAGCGAAAGCAATGAATACAAAAATATACATAAGTGCATGGCCACATTTATATATTCAATTTTTGTTACATTTGGTGTTGATATTTTGCTTCTCGCACAAAGATTACTTCTTGTGTTTACCCGGAAAAATTAGTACAATCATATACACTAACAAGGGAAGGAACAAAGTTTGTTTATCAAGCCCCCCTATCGGCATTTTTTCCACAAAAGAATTCCCTTCAGGCATCCGTCCATTCCAATAGATGATAAATGTATTAAAGAGCTCCTAATTAAATGGCAGCTATATAGATAGTAATATATCCTGTAGTTGGGCTTGCGATGAAATCCTTTTTGAGAAATTCAAGCTGCTAAATTTGGGCTATTGATGAAATCCTTTTTATAATTGAAGGTCATGTGTCAACCAGCTCATCTAGTAGTGTTTTAGAGCTGTCAAAACTTCTGCACAAGACCCCATAGGAGACACCCTCAACAGATGTCTCAGTTTACTTGATTAAACTGTGGAAAAGACAATATAGATATTGATACTTATCCAAAAAAATTATTCGAGAGAGATTTCCTTCCCTGCCCATCGATGCTTAGCTTGGTTGATGGGCGTGTTCGGTTGGGAACCCCCCATCCCGAGTTCGATTCTCTCCAGCGGCTTCTTATATAAACAAACAAACTTCTTTTATATTTTTTTACTTAGAACAAACAAACAAACTTTTATAATAATAGTATATATAATTATTACATATTAGAAAATTTGAGTCAATAGAATGCGTGTTTTACGTCTTAACATAGTACAAAAATTTAACACTCACAGATAAGATTACAAAACCAAATATTTTTTTACTTAGAAAACTTAGAAAGGGAAAAACCCAATAGGTCTAACCTAGTTGAAGAATTCACTAAATATTAAAAGACACAAGAATCATTTCCTCCTCATAGTTGAAGAAGAGCGATGTATTTCAGAATATAATGTTTGATTTTTTTTATAGGGATTAATAGAAATTAAGTGGCCACAAATAAATAATTAATACTCGATAGGAGTGATTGGTTTTCTTTATAGAGATTATAGAAAGTAGGTGTTCAAAGGCCGGTAGCTATACCTAACAACAAGGTTAAATCTTGTCAGAATTTTGGAAATGGTGACAGTGATTGGTGGTAATGGTTGACAGCGACATTGATGGTCGTCGAAATCAATAGCAGGTGCTGGTCTTCCACGGCGATAGCTATAATCATAAAAAAGAACTCTCTAGTTCTATCTTTTCTCCCTCTCCGTATCATGTGAAAAATGTGATCCCATTTATAAACTTTTTGGGATAGACATTTTGTTAATTTGATTCAAAATAAAAAACACTCCATCATATGGTCCATATAGATTCCCTTAATCATAAACCATTTATTCAACATTTAAGTGACTTAATGATGTTAGAATTGAGTGCTCTTAGGCTTGTTGAGCCGCTCGATTAGACTATGAGCATGTTGAATTTGGAGGCCATTTTCCAATCAATGTTTGAAATTTTTAATTATTCTTCAAATTTTTCAGTTGGGCTTATTTGAGGCAGGATTGGATCACTTATGATATCGTTGGGTTCGTCTTTTTGAGACATTCGATTTTACTATGAGTTCATGGAAATTGGAATTCATATGGTCAAGAATTTAATTCATAAATTTTCTAATTAAAATCTTCGACAAGCCACTTGACAGGTAATCAAGTTGAGCGTTCCGCAGTTCAAACTCGAGCTCAATAAGCTAACAAGATCGACATTCCGTTCGAGCTCGAAACCCAATAAGCTCGACTCACGAGCTCGTTAACAAGTCAAGATGAAGCCGGCTTGGGTCAGGCCAATTTTTACAGCCGAATCAAATTAAATATTTATAAATCTTCTTATCCAAATCTAAGCTAACAAATCAACTTTTAGTTTGGGTCCAGATTTCGCTGATTTGTTTGGGAGATAGCTATGATGTTTTGTAAATGTGTTTGTAAAGCGATTATGAGGAAAGTAATCTTTTCAAAAACTGATATAAAAACCCATTCATAACATAGAAATTACTTAAAAGTACAACAATAGCCAAACGGAATTATGCCTACGGTCTGAATATCAAAGCATTGAAAAAAGTGTCACAAATAAACCCTTAGGGGCTGTTTGGTAGAATGCAAGATTTCATTTAAGTAGGATTTCGTAAATCCTCCAAATCCCGGATTTACGAAATCCTGAGGGGTTAAATCCTGAAAACTGTTTGGTAACATTCATGATAAATCCAGTTAAATCCTGTGTGATTGTTTGGCTATTTAATTGAGGATTTAAGACGGTTAAAAGATTTAACATTCATTTCTTCATTAATAAAAGTAGAACAATCCAAATTCAAATAAGATACAACAAAGATTCATTTGAAATACAACAATAACATAAAGAAGATTGCAAATAAAATAAAGTTGATTCCATCTTCAATGTTTTCAACATTTCAGGTTATCCAGCTGAACGACTTCGCTGGCTTGCAACCTACAAACGGAGTAGTTTGTTAGAAGTTTAAATTATGGATATTCTAAAGAATATAAGCTTAATACCAGAGAAACTTACCCGGGCTTCCCATATATTTGTTGCAATTAAATGTCTCAAACCATCACCCAGTACTCTTTCTCCAACACCTGCATACAAATTCGGGTCTTCATCAATAGCTTGAACCTCCCCCAAGTCACTATTATGATGCATTTCAGTCTGTGACATGTTGAAGTAAATATCATGCCCGTGATAACGTCCGATAAAGTTATGCAAGACTGCACATGCAAGAACAATATCAGCCTGAACCGCAAGTGGAAATTGACGCATGTGAGTCAGAACTTGGAACCTTTCTTTCCATATGCCGAAAGTCCTCTCAACTACATTTCGTAGTTGGGCATGACGGTGCCCGACTCACGCCGCTCGTTTGGAAAATTTCGCAACTGTGCTGGATGTGCGAATGAATGGAAGTGAACAGTGAGTGGGCTTATAATAGCGAGAGAAGAGACGGGGGCGTATGGGCAAGCATGTGCGTGAGCTGTTCTGTGAAGATAGCGAGTGAAGAGATAAGAAAACAGCTGGAATCGTTCGGCCGCTTCTGTCTTCTTCCTCTCCCGCGATAAATCAGGTAAATCCGCGACCCCTCCTGCGAGTAACAAGTTAAATCCGCGGAATATGGGGATTTCCGAAATCCGGGATTTACCGCAAAAAAAGCTCTTTTTCCGTCAACGGCGGATTTCAAATACCGTGAGATTTGGATTTGCATTTTAGGCCGTTTGGCTGGATTTCGCCCAAATCCATCGCTAAATCCCGCTAAATCCGCATACCAAACAGCCCCATCAGTATATACACAATGTACATACATATCCGAACAATTCTTTAGTATCTGGACTCCGCACGAAATAGTTTCTCTTAGTTAGAGTCAAACTCACAACCAAACTGTGGAGAGCTGCTTAACAAGATAACTTTGATTTCCTTGCTGACATCTGTACGGACGAGATTTCTTCTTCAATGTTCGGCGTAGTGTGACTTCTTGTACATCGCAGAGAGAGAGAGAGAGAGAGAGAGAGAGAGGGAGATGGCGGAGTCACTCCAAACTGGAGGAGGACAAGCAAGCGGCGTCTGTAAGGAGAGGCAGGGATGGACGCAGAACGTGGTCATAATGAGGCACGGTGACAGAATCGACGCGGCAGAACCTCTGTGGCTGTCGCACGCAGATCGGCCATGGGATCCACCGCTGACGGATACTGGCAAGATTCGGGCTTGGACGACGGGAAAGAGACTGAGAAACGTTGGCTTCCCTGTCCACCGAATCATCGTTTCCCCTTTCCTCCGTTGCCTCCAAACCGCCGCCGAGGTCATCACCGCCCTCTGTTGCGTTGTTGACGACGAAACCCATCTTCTCTCCATGGAGACTAGTGCGGGCGCAGTGATCGATCCTACTCGCGTTAAGGTACCTTGAACCTGTGTCCTTGTAATCAGAATCATGGATTGCATTGCGGTGTGTGTGGGGATATTAGGAACAAGAACTTGGGTCATCATTCATTATAAGTCATTAGTTTTATTCCATTTTTATGAATCGGGCAAGCTAGGGCGGTTTTTGAAACTAAATATCGTTTAAAATTTAAAGTCAACGAGTGATGGAGGTCGGAGGGATCGTAATTGGGTGACGATTATTTGAGGATCATAGTCAAAAGTATTGTAGTTGTGAGACGATATTGAGAGGAATAGTGGTCGAGAGACGGTGATTTGAGGACCGTAGTTAGTTGACAAAGGAGGTCGGAGGGATCCTAGTCGGGCTACGGCGGTCAAAGGGACTGTAGTCGGGCAACAAATATCAGAGGGACCGTAGCCAGGTGATGAAGGACGATGAAATTGTAGTCGGGTGATTGAGTTCAGAGGGAATGTAATCGGCGGGCAACGGAGGCCTAAAGGGTTGTTGTATTTGAGTGATTTAGGTCGAAGGACCGTATCAGACAACAGTTGTCAAAAGGACCACAGTTTGCGATTAACAGATGTTGAAAGGACCGTAGTTGGCAGGATACAGATGACCGGCGGTCATAGATCATTCGTCAAGTATTTAAGTACCTTAATGACATTAGAATTAACAATCTTGGGCTTTTTGGATTAGTCTCATTGATTCGATTTTATGCTTGTGTCATATTTGAATATCATTTGATCACTCAATAAATATTTTGAAGCTTTCAAATATGCATCAATTCATCAATTTAGGCCCAGTTGGGCTCGATTTGGACCTATTTTGGTGTTGTTGGGTTTATCTCATTGAGACATTCAGTTTGACTATATGTTTGCTGAAATCGAAGTTCTGATATCAACATATTTAATTTTGAAAGTTTCCCATTGAGATATTCCCATAGATTCGTGCCCGATTAAGTCGAGATTTTTTATGTCGTATCAAACTCGAACTAGAATAATTAATCAAGCTCAAGACCAAGATGACTCAATTGGACTCAACTAATTTAGACTCCTAATCCCTCTATTTTTCCTTTCCCCTACACTCAAAAATAGCAAAGAGAGATTGATCAGATCCATCCCTAATTTATAAATATGACTTCTAATTTATACTCTAATTAAAAAATTCAAATCTTTAACAAAGGCAATTTGTTGGCCATCTGATTTCCCTCTCACCCAACATCTTTTATTTATTTGTTTATTTATTTATTTGATATGATATTTGATCTGATAAAAGTTGAAATAATTTAATGAACATTATTAACCACTCGAATCAAATTATATAATGTGACATGATTCTTCCTTTGAGCTTTGTGCAACCTTTTATAAATATGAAAGTGCATTGCTTGTGATTCGGACTGCCTAACAACAGGCAAATTTGTACGAACACTTTAAAATTAACAAAGCAAGCACATGTCAATGGTGAACCGATCAGTGGTGAAATTCTGCAGCCTAATAATTGGACTAATTTTTTTTAACACAAAATAAACATTTTATTCAAACAAAACAAAGTTACAAAGGAAGGTCCCCAGCCAATGCAACAACACAGAAAAGGAATCGATACAAATAGCTCGAGGCCAGGAAATGACTGTAAGAAAGCTCGAAATCGGACTCAGGTGTGGAAACCCCTTGCACCATCAACGCGACCAGCCACGAACCATCCAGAGGTGATAAAGCCATCAAATCTACACATCGAAGCAACCAAGCACAAGTCCCTATCAACTCGGTTGCCAACCAGCCAAGCCAGCAAAGGGAAGCTGGGAGCTTTCTCATCATTGTCCACAAAGCCGTCAAAATCGATCGCTAAAAGGCAAAGCCAAAACCTACTTCTTTTTACCTTTATTCTTACGATTATAACCTCCATTAGAGTGACTAGTGTCAACAAGCTTAACTGGCTCAACCACCTCACAATCGCCAAAAACCTCAACTTCCTCATCTTCATCCCCATCAAACGAAGAGGAATCACTCAGAATAAGCCAATCATTTTGTACTAAAACAAAATTTTTGACAGAGTTAGCCACCTTAGACTTCAATTCACTAGCAGACATAATCGTGATCGGAACATTAACAAAAGTAGTTGTACTTCCTGAAACAACCTTGGACACAGGAGAAAGCTTATGGTCACAAGATTGGGTAGGGGAGACCACTCCAACCAATCCCGGGACAGGCACTCAGGAATCCATTTCCCCAGACAATTCGAACGGAAGAGGCACAACATCCACAGAAGAAAAACTCGCCTTTAAATTAGTATCATAATGTCTAACACCAACTAGGGGAGCAGAATGAGATCGACGGGCCCAAATGAGAAGCCAAAGCCTTCAAAGAGACAAACGATGAAGGGAACAAAACAACATCCCCTGACACTTCCAGAGGAAGGCTAGCATTAAGATCAGGAGCAGGGGAATGGGCAAAACGACCTCAATACACGAAAGGGTACCCTCCAAACCAGCTGAGGGAAAATTAACATCTGCCACAATATGATTAACCCCAGTTAAATAAACATGAGAGCTAACATTAGACGCATCAACCTCATGACAGACAACCCAGGGAGACAGGAGACACACCAGGAGAATCAACATGACCCCCCACCTTGTCCACCCCAATAACTGGAACAACAATGTTAACCGGGTGATCAGAAGCATTAACCAAATGAGAGGAAGAAGCTTTGGCCAAATTAGGGTGCAGGGATAAACATTACACTTTGGAATGTCCTAAAGAGCAACAATGATCACAGTAAAACAGTTCATCTTCAAAGATGACCGACTGGACATACCCCAGATTCTCCAGTCCAATCCAAACATTGTTCGAAAACTTTTTAGACACATCCAATTCGACCAACACACGAGCAACGGAGGGTCTAGACCCAACAACAGTAGCATTATCAATTTTAAGAGGGCGTCCAAAAATAGAGCCAAGCCCATGAAGGATCCTCTAGGAGAACAAATGAGGGCGCAAATTCGGGAAAGACAACCAGATGGGGATAATAAAAGATTCAACATTCACATCAAACGAAGACGACCATTTGATTACACGCATATAGCAATTGTTAATAAAATATGAACGATGAGCAAAAATGCGGCAATAATCCAAATCATTCGCTAATTTGATAAGAACATTCTTCGAATTAAGCACAATAATAGAGAGTTCGCCGTTAAGCTTAAGATTGAAAAATTGGGCCATATTTTTTTTCTTTGTTGTGAATTTTAGGCTTTGTTTGGGACGGCTTTCTGACTGATTTTTTAAATAAATTTTTAGTATAAAATTTTAATTTTTAAATTCGAAAGTTATTTTAAGAAGCAATAAACAAATCATCCCAAACGAAGCCTTAATTATATTTGGCTTGAACAAGATTTGTTCAAAAAATATTCAAATCTAATTTAATGTGTCATTTGTGGATTCCAATTGTGCTTTTCTCTTCCAATGAGGTGAAATCTCAATTGGCTTCCAAATTCACATTTAGTCATGTGGATCATTCTGATTGGTTGGATGAATTTTGCTCCTCGCCTTGCATGGATGCTAGCGAGAAATTGGATGAGCCAGAATATGATTTTCATGAGTATAGTCTGAATGTAAGTCTTTCTGCTCAAAAAGTCCTATTCCATGGTGCTGCCAAATGTTATAGACAAAAATCGAAAAAGAAGTAATTGATGCTATTGGTCAATGTGCTTTACTGTTAGGACCTCCTCTCCGATTTTTGTGTTATGTTGGCTGCTGTGTTTTTTTATGGTGAACTCTAATTTCCTTGTATGGATAATGATGAGGCGGCCTTCTGCTCATCCACTAGATGGGCTTGGCTTGATGCTAACCTTGTGGTCTCTTTTCTTTTTCTGATTGGTGGCCTTAATTTAGGATGTGGGATGTTGTTTGGTCTGTACTTGTTGCCTCCAATGGATGGTCCTTGCCTGGCTTCTAGTTGATTGTACGAAGGTTCATGCGCCATTTCCTGAGACCGGTTGTTGTTTGGCTTGATTTACATATTATATCTTTGTATTTTTGTGTTTTTCTCCCTTGAATTGGGTTGTAATCTCTTTTTATTGAATGAAAAAAAAAAACGACAAAAAAAAAAAGAATCGAACAATGGTCAAATTTAGTTCAAATATGGTTGGAACCCTATTTGATGATATGACATTTTGAATTATGTGTGTATCTCCTGATCAATTATCTTTTAAAGGTGAATTAAGTATTAATATTCTTTTGTTGTATTAAATAGAATAAAAAAATAGCTAATTCGGTTGGACATTATTGATAAATAAATAAAACAATTGATTGATGCTTCAAAGAAGTATTTTTCTTGAAGATTTTATAGATCTCATAGACAAGCTTATCAAGAATGATAATAAGCATTTTGGTATGAAGCCATATGTGATATTCCACCTTGATGGAGACAATCCATAAAATCAGCTCCTCTAACGAAGATATTTATAGATTATGATATTATTTTATTCTTCAATATAATTTGGATATTCATTCAACACCAAACTCTCAATAATATGTGGAGATGAACTATGATATTTACTTACCTTATGAGAAAATTTAGTCTTGTTAATTTGATGCTTCAGCATACTTTAAATTCAACTACTTCTCCTTGTGCCTTATATTAGAGGCTTCAAAAGTATATACTATGCATTAGTAAGTGTGGATGGAATATTTATAAATACATATTGTGGAAGAACTTTGATGATGACAAGTGGTGAAAGATGCTAATATTAAAAATAATTTGATCCGAGTCTCAATAAGTCTAAATAATCTTTGATTAAAGGATTAAATGATCTCTGATTTTTCATGCTTATAATCAAAATGAGCATCTCGAAGAGAAGAAACTAAGGAACTCAATATCATCTAATTCTGAAATCATTAAGGCACATCAATGATAAAAGAATTATCTATGATTAAAGATACCAACACAGGCCACATGATAGTCCTTTTTTTTTTTTGGCTAGATTTATTAAAATAGCACTCTCAAAAACTATAAATAGGCTCACATTCTCCACATATGAGGGGCCTTAGAT